TACACCACCTTTTTCCAGTTCATGATTCAAAGCTGCTCACAAAAGTTAAGATGTGAATGTGCATTAAGATGTGCACATCATGTGCACCTGATTGTGCAATATTCTGCAATGTTGTCCTTCAATACAATCAACATGTATAGTGAGTGACATATAGACTACATAATGCAGCTATGATATAGGACAGGCCTAAAAAACTTGTTACTCCAGGTGTTTTGGACTTCAGCTCCCAGAATTCCTGGGAATTGCACAAGCTGGCTAAAATTTCTGGGAGATGGAAGTTCAAACATCTGTAGGGCTACATGTTGTGATGGAGACAAATTGCCCAGCCATTCCATGCAGTGAAATGGTAGTTTGGAGAAGGGGGGGCATATTTGTGGTGACCCTTTGCAACCTGACTTCTGATCATAGGTGCCAATGGATTCCATTCTAAAAGGGGAGTTGAGGTTGTACAGTAGACAGAATAGTTCAGTGGTTCTCAACTTTCCTGATGTCACAACCACTTAATACAGTTCCTCTTGTTGTGGTGACCCCCAACCATAACATTATTTTCATTGCTACTTCATAACTGTAATTTTGCTAGTTATGAATCGTAATGTAAATATCTGATATGCAGAATGTGTCTTCATTCACTGGACCAAATTTGGCACAAATACCCGATACACTCACATTTGAAAACTGGTAGGGTTTAGGGGAATTAATTTTGTCATTTGGGAGTTGTAGTTGCTGGGATTTATAGTTCACCAACAGTCAAAGAGCATTCTGAACTCCACCAATGATGGAATTGAACCAAACTTGGCACACAGAACTCCCATGACCAACAGAAAATACTGGAAGGGTTTGGTGGTCATTGACCTTGAGTTTTGGAGTTGTAGTTCACCTATCTCCAGAGAGCACTGTGGACTCAATCAATGATGGATCTGGACCAAACTTGGCACGAATCCTCAGTATGTCCAAATGTAACACTGTTTGAGCTTGAGGAAAATAGGCCATAACGTTTGGAAGTTGTAGTTGCTGTGATTTATAATTCACCTACAATTAAAGAGCATTCTGAACCCCACCAATGATTGAATTGGGCCAAATTTCCCACACAGAACACCCATAACCAACAGAACATACTGTGTTTTTTGATGGTCTTTGGCAACCCCTCTGACACCCACCCCCTGTGACCCCCCCCCCCAGGGGTCCCAACCTCCAGGTTGAGAAATGTTGGAATAGTTGGACTATGCTGGGTTTTTTGAATCACTTTCAGTTTTGAAGTTCAAGGTGACCTTGAGCATAAAGGTTTAACAAGCCTCATAGTAGTTCTGTGAAGAGAAAATGCAGGACAATGGGGAAAGACACCATGTATGCCAACCATGTATGCTTAAATGAATGAGATTAATAGATAACACCCAGTTCTTCTTGGAGCAGTGGTGACATTTACTGTTCCACAGTACGTGTTCTAAGTGCTGTGTATATATTCTGTTTGAAGATCAATAAAATATTATGGGCTGAATGTAAGACTCCAACAGTGCTATTAGCATGCAAGGGCAGTTTTCTCACGATGGTCACATTAAAATCTGTCTCTGTCTTGCAGGATGTGACTTTAAAAGAGAAACATTCAGAATTACCTTGCCAGGGTACATTATAAATCCATTCACTATAATTAATCATTTTGTCAAGTGCTATCTTTAAAAAATTGACCTAAAATTCTCCTCTGATTGTTCTTTAACGAATTTAGAGCAGTCTACTAAACTGTTATTCACACTAATACCTGAACACCAGTTACCAAAACCACCCATTTGATCACTTAGAATGACACGAAACCACTCCACCATCCAATTACTCTGTAATTATATAGATTACCTCTTAATGTTCTTATAGGGAACAAGGTTAACTCCCACATAATCTCTTATTTCACAGAAAACTGTTGAATAATGTTAGTACTGAACAACAGGAAAGGGTGTCTTGCCTATTTTGATATCTTGTTTGATTTAGTGCTGTTCCCTGATTTGACAAGGCAAAGTCTTTTGGCTGTGGGAATGTGTCCGAGACAGGTAGAGTGAATTTGAACACCCTGAACTGGGGCAATGATTGTCCACACATAATGAAAACTGGCCATCCATAGGCTCTCATTCTTCTTTTGATTGTTGTAGTCTTAGACTTCCTGGAGAGTTATACCAGAGATTTTCTACACTTTTAGGCCCACTTAACATGAAAATAAAGAAACCACATGTGTTAGAACCACCATCTGTACAGGTGATTAAACACAGGCATACTGCTGTTCAAAGCCATCTTGAGATTGGGGATGTACATTTTGTAGACACTTCAATGTGCTCTGTAGCATGCACCAAGCCCCAAACAATTAGTTCCCATGGGAATGCTCGCTTTCTGTCCCCTTGTCTCCATTTCCTGTGATCTGCTTTGATATAGCACTCATCCCGAATGGTGATGCACAATTATTTATTTATTTGCTTCATTTTTACTCTGCCTTTCTTACCCTGCAGGGACTCAAGGTGGCTTACAAACTCCAGCAAAATTCAATGCCACGTGGACATAACAATAAAACACACCCCATCAAATTGTAAAAACAGTTAAAATATATGAGCAATGAAACAAATAAACAATAAAACTGATTAAAACCATATAAAGTGCTGGGTCTTGATCTCATACTTATCCATAGCCATTTTCCAAAATCCATAGTCATTATTCAGGCTGTTGAAGTCTAAATCCGTAATATCCTAATCGCCAAATGCCTGTGTGCAAAGCCAGGTCTTAAGCTTTTTTTCTAAAGACCAGGAGGGATGGGGCCTGCCTGATGTCACTAGGGAGAGAGTGCCACAGCTGAGGGGCCACCACTGAAAAGGCCCTGTCTCTGAAAAGGCCCTCCCCACCAGTTGTGCTTGCGTAGAGGGTGGGAACGAGAGCAGGGCCTCCTTAGTTGATCTTGAAGCTCTTGTTGGCTTATAAAGGAAGATGCATTTGGACAGGCAAGTTGGACCAGAAACGTTTAGGGCTTTATAGGCCAAAGCCAGCACTTTGAATGGAGCCTGGTAACAAATTGTCAGCCAGTGGAACTGACATAATGGGGCAGGGGTGGTGAGGGTGGTGGGGGTGGTTGTACACTGCTCCTGTAAGAAATCTGGCTGCTGCCCGTTGGACTATTTGAAGCTTCCTGACAGGCAACCCCATGTAGAGCATGTTGCAGTTGTCTATACGGGGTTTAACAAGAGCGTGGACCACTGTGGCCAAATCTGGCTTCCCAAGGTATGGATGGAACTGGCATCCTTTTCATGAAGTATAGCTGAAGCATCTTCTACAGAGCCCGTTTAGACATTTGTGTAAATGTCTAAAACAGCATCTAGGTGATGCTCAGAAAACTTTTTATTGTTGTCAAATTTCTTGGGAACCCATTCAGAAGCCTGAATGAATGTGGTAGCTATCTAAGTCTGAAAACCAAAGACTAGACTTGATCAAAATTCAGCCTTCTGCCAAGGGGTACTCCTAAAACAGTCCTTTAAAATAAGAACTTGTCATTGTTTATTCGTTCAGTCACTTCCAACTCTTTATGAACTCATGGATCAGCTCCCTGACGGTTGTGGCCACCCCCAGCTCCTTCAAGGTCAAGCCAGTCACTACAAGGATACCATCCATCCAACTTGCTCTTGGTCGGGGCCTTTTTCCTTTTTCCTCCCATTTTCCCCAGCATCATTATTTTCTCCAAGCTTTCCTGCCTCCTCATTATGTGGCCTAAGTAATTCATATTTGCCGCTAATATCCTTCCCTCCAGTAAGCAGCTGGGCATTATTTCCTGGAGTATGGACTGGAAATAATCCAAGGCACTCTCAGAATTTTCCTCCAAAACCACAGTTCAAAAACGTCTATTTTTCTTTGCTCAGCCTTCCTTATGGTCCAGCTCTCACATCCATCGGTTACTATGGGGAATACCATTGCTTTTACTATGAGGATCTTCGTTGCCAATGTGATGTCTTTAATCTTCACTGTTTTATTGAGATTGGTCATTGATCTCCTCCCAAGTAGTAAATGTCTTCTGATTTCCTGGCGGCAATCTGCACCTGCAGTAATCTTTGTGCCTAAAAATACAAAGTTTGCCACTGCCGCCATGTTTTCTCCCTCTATTTCCCAGTTATCAATCAGTCTGGTTGCCACAATCTTGGTTTTTTAAATGTTCAACTGCACTTTCTTTTTTCTCCTTGGTTAGAAGGCTCCTCAGCTCCTCCTCACTTTCAGCCATCAAAGTGGTATCATCTACATATCTAAGGTCGTTAATGTTTCCAACTAGTTATTAAGTAGTCATGAGGATGAGATAATAATTATAAATTGTATTTAAAAAACCAGAGCTATGGAGATCAATATTTCTCTGTGGATTACATTACATGCCATTACATACTCACCTCAATCTTTTAAGAGGTTGTATATATATTTTTAACATGCAATAATGGCTTATGCTGCCCTTTGGTTGCCCAGTTATGCTTGCCATGCACTTTGTACCATCAAAACAGGTTTCAAGCACAGGCTTTTGAAAGCAAGGGAACTTCAAAGTTGGTGGCAAGGCTTTGTAGTTTAATTCATGTATCAACTGATCTGTTTCTAAAAGTGGAGGATTACAAATCCTTTCTGGCTTTATTTGTTGCTTCAAATAGCGGAAACAGCAGAAACAGATCATGACAAACCTTTTTCATAACAAGTGACTTCCTTCATCTAAATCAGAGTGGAATTTTTTTCAGTACTTCATTCTATATTATTTTTCATAGCATGCTATAGCTATATCAAGGGAAAAAATCATTTTGGGGCTCCCCCTCCCATTTCACACATTTAATCCATTTGGTATCTGCAGAACTGCAAGCATTCATTTTTATTTCCTTTTAAACTTCAACACTGCCGCAGTCCAAATAGTATAAATTGTTGTTCTAGACAGATGTAGCATCATTCCATGGCTGCTGACAGTGCATTTCATAAACTACACATATATACACACACACATATATAGATATTCTCACCTCATCAAGATCACACCTTCTGTCTCTATAGTGCATCTGAAATATATCACCTAACACACTAGAAAGGGAATAAAAATGTACATCAGCAGAGAGTTGAAAAGAAATCAAAATACAGCTATAAAAATAGAAGCAAGGAAAACAGTTGCTAAGCTATTTTTCAAGCCCATTAAGAAGCTTGGATCTTAATGCTCATACCTATGGATTCTTCCTCACTGCTATCTAAATAAAGAGCCCCTCCATTCAAAGCAACTAAAAGGACTTATTGACCCATTATGGGCAGAATTCGATGGAGTGATTTTGCTATTAGCAGAACTGGGATGTTGTTTAGCTCCTCACATACCCTCCCCCATTTCATAGATGAAAAAAAGGACCTATGTGGCTGAGAAACATCCAAGTGTGATCAAGGTGGCAAAAGTGATTAATGAAGAACAGATATGGTAGGAAAGGTTGCATCAGTTTGTATTTGGCTGAGCCTACTGGGAATGGCGTTAGTCTGTCTGTTCTCTCCTTTCCTGCTGCTGAATTAATCGAGTGCTAACTACTTTTGTGCTTTGAATTTTTTTCATCTTTGAACACAGTTTCCATCAATTGAAGTAAGCTGAGAACCAATGGAGAAAGTGAGAGAGGATTGAGTAACTGGGACATTTTAAAAGAAGATGAAAACATGGGATGACAGAGAATTAACAAGACTGTCTCTGCCAACCTGGGGCAGCTGAAAAATATGGCCCCTGTATTGTAAGCTTTCATGGCCGGAATCACTGGATTGTTGTAGGTTTTTCAGGCTGTATGGCCATGTACTAGAAGCATTCTCTCCTGATGTTTCACCTGCATCTGTGGCAAGCATCCTGTGAGGTTTGTTGGAAACTAGGAAAATTGGGTTTATATATCTGTGGAAGGACCAGGGTGGGAGAAAGAACTCTTGTCTGCTGGAGCCAGGTATGAATGTCTCAATTGGCCACCTTGATTAGCATTTGATGGCCTGAAAGTTTCTAGGTGTGGCTTGTTACTGCCTGGGAAATTCCTTTCTTGAGAGGTGATTAGGTGTTCCTAATTGTTTCTTGTCTGGAGTTTCCCTGTGTTTGAGTCTTGTTTTCTACTTACTGTTATAATTTTAGAGTGTTTTTTTAAATACAGGTAGCCATATTTTGTTCATTTTCATGGTTTCTTCCTTTCTGTTGAAACTGTCCAGAAGCTTGTGGATTTCAATGGCTTCTCTGTGTAGACTGACATGATAGTTGTTAGAGTGGTCCAGCATTTCTGTGTTCTCAAATAATATGCTGTGTCCAGTACTAAAGAGATGGGGCCAGCCTTAGCTCCTTGGGGAGGGCATTCCAGAGCCAGGGGGCCACCACCGAGAAGGCCTTCTCCCTCATCCCCACCAACCAGGCTTGAGACGGTGGTGGGAGTGAGAGGAGGGCCTCCCGGTGGATCTTCGTGTCCACGCCGGTTTATAGAGGGAGATGCGATCCTATTATGTTCACATCCTTGAAAACTCATCTTATGGACAAGAAGGGTATGGTGTGCTACAGTCTGAAAGACCACTATGCTCTGTGCTAATAGTACCTCTAGAATAAAGAATAACAAATGGAAGTTTTCTGTAATTTAATACATAGGTTAGTGGGAGAGTCCTCTCTTAAATGAGACTCATTTACCAGTTGAATCCCATGACTTGTTTCCTGTTTTTTGTTTTTGTTTTTAAACATAATATGGAATTCCTCTAGCCTTGGCTTGCAGGCAATCTCTATCTACTAAGGACGCACATTGTATATCTTACAGGCTGTATATCACTGAAGCCTAGTCAGCTTCCTACTTTTGCTAGATATTCAGGGGAACTACACGTGTACTGCAGTCTTTACTAGCTTATTTTTTTCTTATTAGAATAGCACTTGCCTTACATCATTCCTGTGACTCCATGCCAATAAGGTTAGTCACAGTGATATAAAGAAAATGGAGGACAATGACAATATAAGATATTGGCAGCTAAACATTTTTCTTATCAAATTTTGTTCCTATTCTTCCAGATTTTATACTGGATTAAAAGAAATTGACATAGAGAAATACATTTATTTATTTATTTACTTACTATATTTCTACCCCGCCCTTCTCAACCCGGAAGGGATTGAATAGTTGCATGTAGGCAACTATTCAATGACTTAAAACAACATACAATTAAAATAAACATTAAAATAAAAATGAAAAATAATACACATTAAAACATTTTAAAACAGCACATTCACTATTAAAACCATGCCATCCATAATTGTAATCCGGGGCCATTCCAGTAGTCATTGCACATATTCTGTATCCATCAATTGCACTACAATTCTTCTCCAAAGACTTGATCTCAAAGCCATGTTTTTACTTTCTTTCTGAAGGGCAGGAGGGAGGGGGCTGTTCAAATATCACTGGGGAGGGAGTTCCACAGCTGAGGGACCACCACTGAGAAGGTACTGTCTCTCGTCCCCAGAAATCGTGCCTGTGAAGGAGGCAGGACTGAGAGTAGGGCTTCTCCAGATGATCTTAATCTCCGAGATGTTTCATAGGGGGAGATGCATTTGGACAGGTAAGCTGGACCAAAACCATTATTTGCTTGTATTGGAAGCTGACAGGTCCAAACATATGCCTTTGGTATAGAATCATAAAGTCTTCCATGCTATAACTATATTTTGCTTTGTTATTTCAATGAATTAGCAATGATTTTTTTAAAAAATGTTAGGACTTACTTCTTGCCATAACAGCTTCTCATCAAAATGTCATCTGTGACTTCCTGCAGAAACTGAAGGTATTTCAGTTCTTCTTCTCTTTATAAAACAGAGGGGAAATTTTTTTAAAAAAGTAAAAACAGATCCTTATATTTTACCTTGTTTCCTTTCCTTCTTTAACATATATTAAAACTTTGAAGTCAGGTTAAAGGCATTCTAACCATAGAGGCACGAGACAGCAAAATTCAAGCACTCAATAGACTTGAATGGGACAACTGAGTATAAGGTGAACTTGGTATCATGACAGCCAAGGAGGAGTAAATAATATGCCCAGCTGGAAGACACCGAGTAAGACCAATAGTGCATTTAGATACCCACAACTTCCTAGACTGATGGCAAGGTGTCAGAAAAATGACTTTACTTCCCTTATACATTAAAATTATTTGGTTGCCAGGTAAAGAAACTCAGTTTTTCTACCTAGTCCTCTTGAACTGTTGGTTATCCATTGAACCAAATACAATCAGTATTTGTATGGGAAAAATCCCAGCAACTTGGACTTACAATGGTAATTATGGAATGTCAATTCCACCCTTGATGTTTTGTCCATCTCTAGGAGTGATTAACAACAAAAACAAATATATTAAAATAGATTATTTGTTCTACTTGTAAGCTTCTGGTCAGCTACTGGAGAAACAGGATGGAGAGGGGCTTCATATTTATTTATTTATTTATTTATTTATTTATTTATTTATGACATTTATATGCCACCCTTCTCACCCCGAAGGGGACTCAGAGCAGCTTACAAGTAAAAAGTAAATACAATATATTATATTATTACCATAACACAATATTAATATTATATATTACATTGTACTATAACATTATACTGTAATATTATTAGTAATATAATAATTCATACACCAGATGGACTGGATTTTTCTTGACTGTGTTAATATTTTTAAATAACATGTGGTTTGTCATCTATTTATTTCACAAAAAACACTTACTTTGCACATAGCACTGATTGTAGAGAAACCGAGCTCTGGGGTTGCTTCTATAATTTTTAAATAAAGAAAATATTAATAAGAAAGAATCATTTTATATCCTGCTGTTCTTTTATAGTCTTATATTATACACAACTTGCTTCTTCATAGTTATTTTTATAGAAGAGAAACTTTAGGAGCTAATTATGGACAATGTACTATTTTTAAATTGTAAAAACATAACACAAAAATATTATAATTAACGTGAGCATGGGTATATATGTATAGAGAAAAATTCTCAGTAGTTCAAATGAGAAAAATGTCTTGAGTATTTTATTGCTGATCTTCCTTAAATGCATGAATAATGCTTGAGTGCATGATATATATTACATATCCTATAGAAGATTTATGATTACCATATCATAGAGGGATTTTTTTTGCAAGATTTATTCAGAGGATGCTTGCCAATGTCTTCCTCTAAGGCTGCCTAAAGTGTTCTCCACCCCCCCTTTTATATATACATTAGTACTACACCATCCTGTTATGTGTGTGAGAGAGAATGTGTGTGTGTGTGTGTGTGTGTGTGTGTGTGTGTGAGAGAGAGAGAGAGAGAGAGAGAGAGCACAATGGGTTCAAAATATAGGAAAGGAGATTCCACCTGAAAATTAGGAATAACTTCCTGATTGTGAGAGCTGTTCAACAGTGGACCTCTCTGCCTCAGAATGTGGTGGAAGTTCCTTTCTTGGAGGCTTTTAAACAGAGGCTGGATGACCATCTGTCAGGGATACTTTGCATGGCAGGCGTTGGACTAGGTGGCCCATGTGATCTGATACCTACTGATCACTGGACACATTCATTTACCCATGCTCACATTTTGCTAAGTTAGCATCATCCCTTGTGATGTCATGGAGGAAAGGCAGATTTCAAAGGAGGTCCTGGTCCTGGTCCTGCTGATTGTGTTAGAACCTGGCTGACCACATAATATAGTAACATAGAAGAGCAATATTGGCATGCCACTTCTCTTATCCCAATGAAACATGCTCTTTCTATCTCATTCCTCTACTCCCTTTGGGCCCACATTGTGGGAGTGCAAAACATCTAAAAGAGCCTTTATGTTAAATGAGTGAGCTCTGTTGCTAGCTAGGAATGGGAGAATATGAGTGCCCAGGCTTGAAAGATCAATCTTTTCCTCTTTTAATGCAGCCCACATTTTTAAACCATCCATCATTCCAGAGATTCAGCACTTGGACAGCTCTAGTATAACATAGTTATTTACGACGTCAGTTCAAAGTCATTAGGCTTCCTCACATAATAAATCCAAATTAGCCAATGAAAAATCCATAAGAGGTGTGAATGTAGACTAGGAATGAATGGGCAAAGTGTTGCCTCTTAGAATGCATTTCCTTCCTGACTTCATTCTGAGGGAGCACTGTTTTCTCTTGGTTCAGTTATTAGCTACTTTGGCAGGCATTAGCTCTCAAAGACCTTTTACTACATATATCTTAACAGGTCAGGCATGTCCTCTTTTCCCGAGGAACCGCTTTCCTTCCAAAAAGTCTATGAGAAATGTCATTTGAGTATGAAATATTATGGTACATAACCTATCAATTGTTTCTCACATCAGAAATACTTGGGCTTTACTTCATAGCTCCAAACAAGCCAGCACTGCCATACGGCAGTGTGACTCAACCACAGGAGAAAGCAGATTTTGTGTGCGGCTCAATTACTAGATATTAATTTGTCACTATCATATTTTACTGCTAGAGGTGGAACATGGGGTGCTTGAGGGGATTTTTTTTTCTTCTACTTTGGTTGGCTTTGGTCCCTATGCACCTTAACCTGATTGAGTAAACTGCACCATTTTCTATTTTGCCTCAGATGCTGAGAAAGGAATTAACTTCACATGGTAAAATCTGCTTGTCTTTGATGAAACTTGACAGTAGATTTGTGAAAGTTTCTGATCCAGAAAAAAGGTAGACATACATTTTTTGCTTTTGTTGTTTCTCCCTACTTATTGGAATGAGGAATCCAGAGATGAGAAACAGAATGAAACTCCCATTGTGGGCCAATTACTCAGTGTTTGGTTAATGGGATACCACCAAAGTAGGCAGACAATAACATCAATTTGAGCTTCATTTTCAAAAGGGATAAGACTGGAAATTATTGATTAAAATGAATGAGGTAATCAGGTAATATTCTTATGATGAGTTTGGGAAAATGTTGAAGCTTAGAAAGAGCATTGATTATATATACAATATATACAGTATATGTATGTATGTATGTGTGTGTATATATATATAAACTAGCTGTGCCCTGCCACGTGTTGCTGTGGCCTTTAGTAAGAGTTTTGAAGTCTCTGCCTGGCCTCTCTTCCTTCCTTCCCTCGCTCTCTTTCCCTCTCTCTCTCTCTCTCTCTCACTCTTTCCTTTCCCCTCTTTCCCTCTCTCTCTGGCATCCCTCCTTCCTCCCCCTTCTTTATGCTTGTGTGTAAACTTGAGTATCTTCTGTTGGTCATGGGGGTTCAGTGTGGCATGTTTGCCCCAATTCTGCTGTTGGTGGGGTTCAGGGTGCTCTTTGAGTGTTGGTGAACTCTGAATCCCAGTGACTACAACTCCCAAATGTCAAGGTCTATTTCCGTCAAACTCCATCTGTGTTCATATTTGGGCATATTTAATGCTTATGCCAAGTTTGGTCTGGATCCATCATTGTTTGAGTCCACAGTGCTGTCTGGATGTTGGTGAACTACAGTGTCTATGCCAGGGGTGGAGGGAAGGGGGCGGGGGGAAGTTGCATTGTTTGTGTGTGTGTGTGTGTGGGCGGCGACGTGTTCGTGCTGGGCGGGGCGAGGGAGGGAGGGAAGTGCGGAGGGTGCGTTGGCCGTTCGGCCATGTGTGCGCGCGCGCTGGGGACTTTGCTCCAGTGCGCATGCTCAGTTGTTTTGRCGATTTATCTGTGTGTTGTTGTGTTGTTTTCAATTCTGAGTGGATTARTTTGTACYGMGTRGGTTGTCCTTGGGGCATGGCAATTTTGGTGCAGTTTCGTTGGGGGGTTGTGGAGTTTTGCTGTCCGGTTGAACCAACCTAACAGATTTATATATATAGATTGCAATTCTATTGTACACACTAAAACTTTTCATACTTAGGATGCTTAATCTCCATTGTTCAATAACACCCCCCCCCACAAAAAAAAAAAAGAAGAAGAAAAGGGACACTCTAAGTTCATGGTACCTTGTTAATAGTTTTTCTTAAAGTATAAGGTTTTTGAAAGTGAAATAATAGTGTGCTTCTCCCATGTGATTTCTTACTATGCTATATGATTTTTCTTCTTTTAGTCACTTTTTGATGAAAGATGCTGGATTGGGGGGGGGGGGGATTCTGCCAATATTTCTATGGTTTTAAACACGGTGCTTTCAATATTTATGTTATTTTACAGTTATAATCAAGGATTATAATCCCCTCAATGGATTGTCACCTTGTTGTTGTGAAAGGTCTTGTGTGTTCCAATGAACCTGAAGGCATAACCATTGGGGTCAGAGTTTTGTAATATTCTATCATTTCTAAAGTGACAATAAGTAAGTATAAGGATCAGGACCATCCAAGCAGCAAGCATTAAAGACTTAATCACCTGGCTAGCATTGAGTAATTTGTAGCCAGGGTGGGGTAGCTGAAAAAGTAATAAAGAAGCACAAGCTTCCCTGTGAGTTAAAAGTTGTAAAGGTGATGTTGGAGGTGTTGTTGTGATGAGTTGCTGTAGCCAAAGAGTTGAGCTGCTGGAGATGAAGGATGAATGAAGAAGACCAGAGAGATGTTAATACTATGGAGAAGGTATGAATTGACTGGGGGTGTAAAATGTTGGAAAGAAGGGCTGGAAGAGAGTCAAGTACATCTGTTACTACTGTATAAAGTTTTCTACAAAAGATACAAGTTGTGCTTGTCTACTCCTTAACCAGAGAGGGAGTTTGTATGCTGAAGAAGGGGGATGTTTTGTTGCTGAACAAAGAACCCCAACAAATTTGCTGTGACAATGTAGTCCCAGGAAGGATCCAAATCAAGCACAATCTGAAGATCTCAACTGCAGAGCAGGTGGATGACAACATGGCATATGTTGCAGCAGCTGTGAAAGCAGAAAAAGCTTGCAACAGATGAGAAGCCACCATCATTTTGTTAGCCATGCCACTGGATGGGACCCTCATTCTGTGAAGGCTGTGTGTTGCTCCACACATTTAAAAAACTCATACACAGGCATCTTCCAAGGGGAAAAAACCTAAACCAACAAAAGTCCCATGGCAATCAGCTAGTGGTGACGGGGGCATTCACTCTGCTCACCCCACATGGGGAGGGGGCTAGAAAAGGTGCCCTATAATAGTCTGCCTCTCTTATCCCTGACCGGACAGCTGCGTCCAGAGGGGTCACCACCTTGCAGCCAGAAAAAGAAAAATGAAATTTGGAACATGGAATGTCCAGACATTGCTGGACAGTGACCTCCCTGAATGCAGGACTGCTATTATTGCAAGGGAGCTGGGATGCTTTAACATTGACATAGCAGCACTTCAGGAGACCCGAACAGCAGAAGAGGGACAGCTGAAGGAAGAAGGTGGCTACACCATTCTTCTGGAAGAGACTGTCTGAAGAAGGATGAAGAATACATAAAGTCATCTTTGCTATCAGAAATGACCTGGTGAAGCATCTGTCCGAAGCACCCATCGACGAGAGGTTCTCTTGCAAATCCCACAACAACAAAGCAGGAAGTCAGCAAAGCCGTTGGTCAATTAAAAAATAACAAAGCCAGTGGACCTGATGGGATCCCTGCTGAAATCTTTAAAGAGGGTGGACCTGAGCTGACACAACAACTCCACCAAGTATGGGTTACCAAGAAAATCCCAGAAGTCTTCAAAGATGCCATCATCATCATCACCCTTTTCAAGAAGGCGGAAAGAACAGTCTGTGAAAACTATTGAGGTATCTCCCTTCGAAGCCACCAACTCTGCCACGTTATCTGAATGCTTGATCACCATCTTCCAAAGTTGTTACTGTACTCCCAACTCAAGAATGGAAAATGGAATGTTGGTGGACAGGAAAAGAGATTTAAAGCTTAACTCAGCCTTAAAAACTGTGGCATAGACACCAAGAACTGGGAAGCCCTGGCCCTCGAGCGCTCTAACAGAAGGTCAGCTCTCACCAACAGTGCTGCAGAGGCACGAATAGGGGATGAAAGGGCGAAACTTGTCAAGAGGAAGGCATATCAAGCCAACCCTGACCGGGACTGCTTTCGACCTGGAAGTCAATGTCCTCACTGTAAAAGAACATGCAGGCCAAGAATAGATCTCTACAGTCACTTACAGACCCATCGCCAAGATCCAACACTTGGAAGACAATCATACTTGAACACAAGTGATTGCCAATGATGACAATGATGAATCAAGAACTATTTTCACTATATGCCTGTGAATACTTGAAATGCTAGATATGCTAAACATATTAGTTAATTAATTTTTATTTAATAGCCCCAATCAACTACTTTTTACAGCACACCCAGAATATATCTACATTTACTTCAACAGAATTGTCCTGTAGGAAAAAAGTGCATGTATACTGCAGCTTCAAAGTGGAATTAAAGAGGGTTGGGGGACAACAACCAGTATTTCTTATGATGTCTGTTGTTTTCTGTAAAATCACATTACACCCACATTCTAGAACTGCACATATTTATTAATACTATTACTCCTCATAACATTTCATCCAAAATTAAAAAGGGTTACAGTAACCTTGACTGGATGCTGTGTGCAATGATCTGCATAAGATCTTAGAGATTCATCTTCCAAAGACCTAAAAGATGAAAAAGAACATTTTGACTAACACTGATGGCAGTTTAAAATTATCTGAGGTCATTAGATCTTACACAGAACTTAGAAATAGTTGTGACAAAAGCCACAAGCTTTTAGTACATTGCAAGCACATTCATTTTTAATTGTTTTAAAAACAATTGTGAAAAGTTCAGTAATACCCTTCTATTCATGGGGGATAGGTTCCTGTCTGGATGAATGAATGGTTACATGACACTGCATATATAACTGAATGCCCTTGAATTTCCACACTTCTGGTCCCAGGGTACAATAAAGATTTGTTGGAAGACCTAGAGATTCATAGAAAGAGCTCTTCTCTAGGAATTTGTGAAGTCCTCTGAGGCAACTCTATGGTAATTTTTTCTCCATAAGTTTTTATTAAGCTTTAAAAAATCATTAAAGAAAAGAAGAACAAAAAAGAAGTTGAGGGTAGTGGAGCTCTGGTTAGTAGATTAGAACTATATAAATGTCTACTATATATCTGAGGAAGAGGAAGGGAATTGAGGGGGAAGAGAATTATTTATAATTGTTACGTATATATTTTCCTCTCAAGTACTATTATACACATCGTCTAAAGTTTTGAAAATTCCATATATCTTCTATAATAGACAATAATACTCTTGTCATCCGATGTCAAAACTGGTAGTCATGTCTTCCCATACAGTCCAATGTTCTTCCTATCTTCTCTTTCAGTTCTTTACATGTCTTTTATCTAATTTTAACTATTGTTGATCTATGTTGTTTTGGATGCTATTATATTGTATATTGTATTTTTATTGTAAGCTGCCCCGAGTCCCTTTTGAGAGAGGGGGCAAGACACAATTAAAGTTTATTATAATATTATTATTGCCATACAAATCTAAAAAATTGTTAGTAAATGAATATTGTGTTGGTGAGAATTTACTATATTACATTGTCATCTTTCCATCTTCTTTTTAAACACTACACAACTTTATGTATTTGTGTGTGTATCTATTTCAAAACTATATATATATATATATATATATATATATATATATATATATATTCAAAGTTTTGAAATATCAAAATAATAAAGTTTGCAAATACTTCTATTCTAATTAAAGAGTACTAACAGGTCTATTATCTAAAGTCTCTTGAATGTAAAGTATATAAATAGTATAATCTGTATCTACATACTATATGTATCTATATACTATTAGTACTATTTTTAGTCAACAAATCCTGCTGTGATCAACTTTCTTGGTTCTGTATAAATTCAATAAAGGTTTTCCATTCTTCTTGAAGTTTCTATGTATTTTTTGTTGCAGAGCTAACATTAATTTGTCAATTTTGGCTATTGCAAAAACATTTGTAATCCAATCTTCTGATGTTGGTATGTTTTGTGTTTTCTATAGTTTGGCGTATTCAATTCTTGATGTCATATAATTTCCAGGGAAAGTAAACTATAGAATTGGTTGGAGGATCTAGCAAATTCATAGAGACCAACTTCCCATGGGCATGGATCAGTGAAAATGTGGATATGCTGTCTTACTGAACAAAATATAGCCAAAATGCACTGAAAATTCCCTAAAAGGACCTTTGCCAAAATAATATTGTGAAGCAATTGATGAATATTAGTCATCATACCAAAAACAAATAGCTAAGTAAAAAATCTAATATTAGGAATTGTTGCATATTTTCAAGAGTACTTCCATTTTCCCCAATTATCATTATCAAAAGAAATAAAACACATTAGGCTTTTAATTTGAATTTTCATTGGGGATAATGCAGGTGAGATAACTGCATACATGATGAACTGATGAGTACTTTACCTGCAAATCTTGGTTGACTTTTTATATTGTTGTGGGGCAGCTGAAAGACTTTTCTTTTTAGATGGCTGGTTATAATACCTGTACTTTGAAAGGAAAGATGTACTTGCTGTTTTTAAAACTTTGGGCGTAAAAGGCTGTTTGGTTTCCGTAAAGTATCGTGCATGTGTGTCTAGTAGATCTCGACTGAGAGCTGTCTTCCAAGGGATTTGAAACATCTTCATCCTGCTTTGGCTTGGAAGAGGGGGATAAGACCAGCGAACCTGTGGACTATGCTTCTGCACCATATTTCTTCCTTTATTGGAAATCTGAGATAAAGGCCAGTGGAGAATATCTTGAATGATCTCCTCTGACTTCAAAACTGGAGACTGATGACCTGGAAGTGTCATTTTTAAATAATTAAGAGGGCAATCTTCTCTTTTTTTCAAGGGTGACATTTTTCCACCTGATAGCAAATTCAGGCTGCTCTGTAGCCACTGAAGAATGGGAAAAAAGAATAATTGGTGATGGGAGGCTTAAAAATGCAATTTTGAAGAAAAACGCAGAACATTCCAGTAACAAGATTGGCTTTGAACACTTTCGCACTGTAGAACTATAATCTCTACCTTTACTGTCATAGTTCAGTCCCATGAAACCCTGGGATTTGAATCTTAGGGAGCTTGAGTGCCTCACCAAACTCATACCCTTCAATTGTCCCAAGTTTGCAGAGACAATCCAAATTATTTTCACATGTATATTTATAAATGATCCAGGATCCCTCCTTCCAAATTTTCCCCATTATCCTAAGCTTATTTCAATTGTTGCAAACAGCTTTCAAAATACAAAAGCAGTTTGTGCTCTACACAATGGTGGACAATGGGAGAAACTAATGAGATCTTGTCCTTTAATGTAGGCCTAGACCAGTGGTTCTCAACCTGGAGTCCCCAGATGTTTTTGGCCTTCAACTCCCAGAAATCCTAACAGCTGGTAAACTGGCTGAGATTTCTGGGAGTTGTAGGCCAAAAACATCTGGGGACCCCAGTTTGAGAACCACTGGCCTAGACAAAAGCAAATGGCTGCAGCCTCTCTTAGTACCTCTGTTCCTCTTCATTAATCATCGTTCCCCGAGCAGCGCAGTTGCGAAGGGGAACGAGCTTTGCCTCCTCGCCCCAAGGAAGTAAACTAACCCAAAGTAGTTCCAGCCGGAACTACTTTGGGGGGCGGAGCCTGGAGGATTATAGCCTGCCTCCAGCTCAGTCTTCTTTGGACGTCGACCCACCTCACCCRCCCATTAACAGTATAATTGTTGGTTGCCTTAGGGGGCYGGGTAGGAATTTTTTCCCCTCCTAYGTTCTAGGGGKKTTTTTTCGCCTACCCTATACTGTTRCTAGGGGKCAGATTGGGTTTGGTGGTWGTTAARTAGGTTTTGCGGAAAACAGCTAGAGAAGGAATACATTTGGTGTGCACCCAAGATAYCCCCTTTATGGGGYGAAGGCCATTAACATWAACATCACCGGTTGTTACACTAACCAAGGTAACKAAAGGATAAATGGCTTTGAAATGGGGAGGGTCTTACCTCATCAGCCATGGGGAAGATYCCTCCAACACATTCACAAAAGGTCACCCTGATTTGGTCRCCAGGGGACCGGGTGCTTCGCCCTATTTAGCCGAGGGGTAGGCCGGGAAGGGACACCACCTCGGCTCTTGCACTACAATTTCATACTGTCCTGATATTGAGGTTCAGTTAGATTTAATTAGGTAACAGTTAATAAAGTTGCCCAGTTTTAAACCCATAATTGTTGTATGGTGTCTTCATTTGGGGAGTTGGCAGGCAAAAGCTTTTGCCATATTGACCACACTCTGTGCTAAGATACTTATGTGCCATTTTTCCTCTCTGAAATGTTTCAGGGTATAAGGTAAAGTAAAGGTTTCCCCTTGATATTAAGTCTAGTTGTGTTCAACTCTGTGAGGTGGTGCTCATCTCCATTTCTAAGCCGAAGAGCCGGTATTGTCTGTAGACACCATCCAAGGTCATGTGGCTGGCATGACTGCATGGAGCGTCATTACCTTCCCAATGGAGCAATACCTATTGATCTACTCACATTTGCATGTTTTTGAATTGCTAGATTGGCAGAAGTTGGGGCTAATAGTGAGAACTCATCCCATTCCCTGGATTCGAACCACTGATCTTTCAGTCAACAAGTTCAGTGGTTTAACCCGCTGCACCACCGGGCATAAAAACTACAAATTTCAAGGTTCCATAAGATGTAGCTATGGCTCTTAAAGTATTTGTTTGAAAGCTTTATATGACTCTCATGCCCTGGGACAAGTACCTGCAGTTTAATCTACATCTATCCCCCATGTATTATTTGTGAGTTATCTTATTCTGTTTGGGTATGGAAGGATATCTGTCATGAACCTTGAGTTCATATGGGTTTTTTTAAAGGCAAGGAATACTCAGATAGTTTTACCAGTTCCTTCCACTGAAAAATATCTTCATTGGCAATCTCCCATCCAAATACTAATCAGGACTGATCCTGCTTAGCTTCCAAGATATAACATGAGCTGGTGTCTTTAGAGTAATTAGATTATACTATTCTTTGAGAGCCAACATATTCTGGGCAACTTACACTATCTCTTCATTTTATGTGGCACAAGTGTGGAAGACTGATCAGTTTATGACAGAATTAGCAAAAAACAAAACAAAGCAAAAAACCACCTGTGTTTTTATGGCAGGTATTTGCCATGAAGGATTCAAGATTCTGCTTTGCAGGTTAAGCAAGTATAAGAGATGAAGTGAGTGGGTGGTCTGCTGAAAGTCTGAGCAGACGGTAACATCCAGCACGACTCAAGTCATCATCCCAATATTTATGTCAAACGACTCCAACTCGCAAGAACATGTCAGATCACATGGGAAGTGTGCCGATTACTTTCAGTTGCGGAGTGGGCGAACCAAATGGTGTGGAGGAAAACAATTTAAATTAAATACCAATGATATAATCCCCGACTTAATGCTAGTGTGATCACAATAAGAGTTTTAATTAAAGAGGGGAAAACCCTTCATTAGGAAAAAGAACAAAAGGGGATACAGACAGGCTACTGCTGCTGACCAGGCACTAATCCAAAGAGTACAGCTAGTTCAGCGGAGAAACTTTCCATCTTGGAAAAAAAATACGATGCTGCAAATCATCTCCATAGTATATAATAATAATATAGGGCCTCTCCCAAAAGAGTATTTTCTTTTATGTAAATACTTGCAATATGGTTCCTGCATAGGTATGCATGGGGAAAACACATTTCATCAGGACCTAATGCTTTATAGGAAGGAAATGGTTATGATTATGATCCAGCACAACATTCAGAGCAAAGGTTAATTTAATGTATCATAAGGGATGGCGTTATTTGATCCTGAAAATAGGGAACACACCACTATTTGTTGTAAGCACCCTGATGTAGGGAAAGAGCAAGCAATTTCTATCCAATTTCTGCCAATTTTGCTGTGATCATTCATTAGACCATTCTGTACAATTTCCATATACAGGTTTTAACTGTGCACAGAAATCAATGTTGTTTTTTTTCTATAGAAGATGCCCTCAAATATTTGTATTTTGTACACAAGTTTTCCCAATTTTTGCATGGATCTTTCCCCTAATATACTATGTCCACTGGCATAAGCAGAATTCCAACTCAGAAGTATGCAAACGGATAGATATATACAGTTGTTTTCCAATCCAAAATTTGTTCAGAAAGTAAAAATTAAAAGATATCTATTGAGAAACACCTAAATATTTCAGAAATTCCAGGCCTTTTTTGGGGGGGGGGGAGGGGAGTTGTAGGATTTTCAGTGTTATGTAACCAACAGAAACAGCAGTGTCAATCACATAAATGTTAAACAAGCCTGGAGTGTAGTCCCCATGGAGTAGAAATGTCTTATAAGCAATTCCCCCCAAAAGTAGGCTGCGTACAGATCATATAACAAATACGCTCACTTACTTTACGATTCTCCGTGGAAATGTTCCTGGAATGGCCTGAGGGTATTGAAGGATTCCTATCAATTTCTTTCTTGAATTTATGAACTGCTTGGATTAGCTTCTCTCTTTTCTTCTGGTCCCTGTCTGGATATAGGAAAACTGTTGAGAAATGGGTGACCATACCCAATTCAAATCCCTGATCTCCCGCTACCTTGGTTTGCCTTCAGTGGGCAACAAATAAACTAAACAAAAAAGATGATGATAATAATGATAAACATTTCTTCATATGTTTATGAGCCAACAATGTCATGCAACAGCTAAAAAAGCCAATGGGAAGTCATGGTACCCCTCTATTCTACTTTGGTCAGACTACATTTGGAATACTGTGTCCAATTCTGGGCATTGCAATTGAAGGGAGATGTTGACAAACTGGAATGTGTCCAGATGAGGGTCTGGAGAACAAGCCCTATGAGGAGCAGCTTAAAGAGCTTGGCATGTTTAGCCTGAAGAAGAGAAGGCTGAGAGGAGACATGATAGCCATGAGGTGAAGTCATAGGGAGGAGGGAGAAAGCTGATTTTCTGCTGCCCTGGAGACAGGATGTGGAACAATGGCTTCAAACTATAGGAAAGGAGATTCCACCTGGACATTAAGAAAAACTTCCTAACTGTGGGAGCTGTTCAGCGGTGGAACTCTCTGCCCTAGAGTGTGGTGGAGGCTCCTCCTTTGGAGGCTTTTAAGTAGAGGCTGAATTGCCATCTGTCGGGGGTGCTTTGAATGCAATTTTCCTGCTTCTTGGCAGGGGAGTTGGACTGGATGGCTTACAAGACCTCTTTCAACTGTATGATTCTATGATTCTATATAACACTATCAAGGTATATAGTTCTTTACATACTTGTTCATTTGACAGTTCCCTGTCCTCTGATTTACAATTTTACAATTTTATTTTTTATTTTACAGTATTTATATATCACTTTTCTCACTCCTAGGGGGACTCAAAGAGGTTTACACATAGATAATGGCAAAATTCAATGCCGTACAACTACAATAGTAAAAACCACACATTAGACATAAATCATATTAACATTAAAAAAGATGTGACACACAAATATAAGGGATGGCTGTTTTGGAGATGTTGACTGCTGTTCTGTACCTCTTGAGTACCAGTAACTGCAGTAGCAGTTAGAATGGATGGATAGAATAAAGATGTTCAGAAAACAAATATACTAAAATCATATCAGTTATCAGAGGTGTAGCTATTAGTGGGGTCACCAAAATGAAGGCAATTTCCTCCAAATAAGAATTTTGTGGCATATGAAATTTTCCTTCAGTTTGGCTCTAGCCTGAACATTGAAATAGCAGTTTCAGCATCTAGTTAGAATTTTCTCAATCATTGGTACTTAATTTGGTGATGTGTCCAAGGTATAGCTTACAAACATTTTCTTTTTCCCATTTCAAAACAGTTATTAAGAAAAGCAAAGTGAACGGGAAAGAGGAAGGAATAGGATAGAGCAAAGGAAAAATACAGAAAGAAGAATAATGACTTCAAGGAAGAGGAAGGAGAGAGAACATACGGTAAAAAAAATTAAAAACAGGTCGTGTGATATTGGTTGAGTTAAAAGATGGGTCGAAAAAGGTAGAAGATAATCGGTCTCATTGGATCTTCCAACAATATCTCCTCAAAGCCATTCACTTTTAAATCACACAGTAGAGGTAAATTTCAAAATTATTCTTCACAGCCTCTGACACTCACCAATGTCCATTCCAAACAAAGATGCTTAGAAAGAGGATTATTCCATATTATTTGCAATATATATTGAGTTGTTTTGTGCGTTAAAGTTTCAGGAGGACAATCTTGCATTTTATGAGCCACAAAAAAGCATTCATTTGTAACAGACATTGACTCCTTGTTTTTAGTCACAAAACTCTTGCTTTAGCATTATTACAAATCACATTTTGTTCCCAGTGGCATATGTTAACCCTTAACCTTTGTACACATCCGGAGAATTTGTGCTGGCCAACACAGATTTAATGGTTTTGATTACCCATCACCACTCTGTTTTCCTTGTTCCTCTTGGCATGAGTATAAGTGGCAGCTGCCTTCTCAGTTACCATTACTCTTCCGAGAATGTGTCTGGAGCAGTCTGTAATCATTTTGTCAAACTCAGTACAAACCATGTGATAAAACAATTTACTGCATGGAATAAAAGTACAGAAACAGAACTGGACGATCAGCCTACGGAGCTATTTACCAGCCCATTCGAGTTGGGCAGCATTAGGAGTACTTTGTGTTTAGGCAATTAGAGTGACAACAAACAAACAAAAATCTGACAGATAGCCAGACAGACATGTCCATGTCTGTCTGGTTATTTAACAATCTGGAAACAATGACATAGAAACTATAGCATAGTTTGGAGAAATTAGGCAGATAAACAGCCACAAGAGCTTTAAATGGAACTTCTCAACATTATGCTACATGTTTCAAATATTCCATAATACCGCTTGAGCATCCCATTTCCAAAATGCTATACAAACAGACTGGAAATGTTTTGGATTTTTAAAAATAGCTTTATTTGCATACATGAACATAATGAGATAACTTGGAGATCAGACCCAAGTCTAAGCATGAAACTCATTTATGCTTCACGTATATCTTATATATAGACTGAAGGTAATTTTATACAGTATCTCCAATAATTTTGTGTACAAAACCAATTTTGTCTATGCTGGACCATCGGAAAGCAGGAGCATCAGTACCTCAGTCACCCATGTGGCCCATTTTATATACTGGAAGATTTGGGAATTCAATACAAGGGATGCTCAACTTGTAATCTACTGCAAGGAAGAGGAAATGCAGTAGACTTGGGGCCATAGCCAGACCTGAAAAAAATTCACTTTTTCCATCAAGGGCGAGAGCCACCTTCGGTAGGGGGTAAAGAAGGCCTCGACCGGGCAGGCACGCTCTTTCACTTCCTCCTTGCCTGGCTGCCTGAGGGCTGGGCCTGGCCTTTCCTCAGTGGCCTCGCATCAAAGCCCAGTCGAAGGTGCTGGGGATTTAGGAAGGAAGAAGAGGAGAGGAATGAGGAGGAGGGGATGGGGAGCCAGGAGTCCCTACTTTGCAGATTTTCAATTATTGTGGGTGGTCCTGGAACATAACACCCATGATAAGTGAGGGAACACTGTATATGCCTTTTCATGTTTGTTTTTTTGGTAAATTGAACTAAATGTTACTCTAGCACCCTCGCTGCCCATTTTCTGCAAAGAGTTAAAGACATGGATGTTCCGTTGTGCCTTTGAGTAGACAAATCCCTAGATAGCATGCCCTAGATAGTAAAGCGAAAGATAGCATGTCTTTCGCTTTACTATTGCTCTTATCCTTACTGCTGCTACATGACCTATGTACTTTACTCATTAGTCTATCCTTTAAATTATTGTTGCACTAGCCTGCCCACCTGTGATGATAAATTGAATTTGTTTACTGATTGTTGGTTTTGATGCCTTTTTAATACATTGTTATAATGTTGTTGTTTTATTTTGTTATATTGCTGTTTTGCATTGTAATGTCTAATATTTTAACTGTATTGTTCAGGCTTGTCCCCAGGTAAGCTGCCCCAAGTCCCTTCAGGGAGATGGAGGTAAGGTATAAAAATAAAGTTATTATTATATTATGTTTTGTTTGTGCATAATATGCATGGGTTTTAACAGCAAACCCTTTTCTCTGCTGCCTTTATTTTCAAAAAGGACATGTTTAGTAGTTCAGCTTTACTTAAATTCACAACGGAATACTAAGAAAATGAATTGCTCAGTCATCCTTATTCAGCCTGATGTTTCTCAGTTTGTCTTTTAATCAGTAGTGCAAGGCAGTTTCAGTCACTAATGTCTGATTAATGCAGAATGAGAACCTGAATTTAATTTGTAGCTATGTAAATGCAGCACAGAGGTGGGACAAGGCTGGCTGTATCATCCTGAACTGTCCTACTTGAGTGCCACAGACCACAAAAAAAGTGTTCAAGAGGAAAAACAGGCAAAATCTCTCTGTTTCTAACAGCTTATTTTCCCACCTCTTTCTCTCCTACTGCCACCATCTGCACTAGTTCAGTTAGCACCAGCATAATACACCTACACGGTATTTATGTCCAAATGCTTGCTGTGCCTGATCCTATTGCCTTGATGCTCTGGTGTTGAGACAATGGAAGTGGTAGCTGATGAGTCTCTCATTAATGGAGCAGCGAACTTCTTCTGGGATCCACACTTCAAATGAGGTATACTATTTTAGGGATAGAGTTAAGAACAACTGTCCCTCTCCTTGTAGCAAACTGCAACTAAGGTCCACTCAATTATCAATTCATTATATAAATGTTACAATGTCATATGGCAACTGCATATAAAAATCATTAATTAATTATAAATAACCTATGTGTTTCCTCTTTGTTACTTATATGTGGTATTTGAGGAAATTAAATGTAACACCGTATTGTTTAGTGCTGCAGCAACTGTTTCAGAAGGACAAAGCTCAGTTTCATCAAGGGCTTTTGCAATACGAGTACAAACAGCTAAGTTATTAAACTGTGAAAGATTGCATTGGAGCAAAAGATTGCTTTGGAGGAAACAAAATGATTTATTTTCCCAATTGGTTATATAATTTGCTATCTGAGGAGCATTTAGTACTGTGTCAATATGCTGCTTCCATAAGGTGTGTGTTACAACCCTTCAGCTTTTCATGTTTGTAATTCTGATCACTTAACCTTGGGAACAGGTTGATTCCATTGGTCTTTATATATATAGTTTCCCTTCAAAGCCTTTTAAAAACCTCTGCCAAGCAAGCACATTCTCAAATAGCAGGACAGTACAATATAGGTGAAACTGTTTCTTCAGTTTTCAAATCAGATGTGCATCCAATGACAATTTTTTTTGGTGAGGGGTACAATCTACCCAGTATTGGTGTAGTGGTTTGATTCTTGAACTAAGACTCTGGAAGTCCATGGTTCAAATCATCAGTCAATCATAGAGATGTACTGTACTGGGTGGTATTGGGCAAATCACACTCTCAGCCTTAGATGAAGACAATGGTAAGCCCCTGGAACAGGCATGTAGCGGGGGGGGGGGGGGGGGCTTGGGGGGCTTCACCCCCCCTGAAATTCTCATG